ATATGATCACGAATTATTTTATTAAATATTAATCAACTTAATTAATGTATATTAAAAGACAATTCGAGATAGAGAATTAGTTGTCAGCTTGACCTTATTACCTATTTAGCCAATTACTTGCTTCAATTTATATATGGCATTATCTATTTGGCCAACTACTTGTTTCAGTTGATGATAAAATCTTTAAAACTGTTTTATCTTATGGTGGCAGTTCCAAAATTTTAGGCTACATAGTTTATAAGGGTTAATAAAATACATATATGGTCGATTACTCACACATATTCTATTTAACGTTTTTTTTTTGTCTTTTGATTCTTACTTTCCTAGCATCCAGGTTCATGCAGTAAATAATTATTATATTCAAATTCGAACAATCTAAACACTAAAATGACATATATTTTATGAAAACTATAAAAATTTCAAACTGTAATTTGTTTTCTCATGCATATGCAAAAAGAAATGTAAAATCTTTCTTTTAACAAACAAAGAACATATATAATTCTCTTTTACTTTTCATTATACATTTTGAATCTCATCATGATAACTCCTAAATTTTTCAAATCGATAAAAATAATCGAAAAATCTCACAAATCATTCATCAAAAAGTAAAGACAATACTCTAGTCTTCTTCTTCTCAAACTTTTGATGCTTTTCTAAAACAATAACATATAAACTACAAACTGAGAATATATAACTGTACTTTGTGAGAGTTTAACTTCAGTCATGCGGATCAAATGTTTTCATTGTTTCTAATATCTCCAGTAAACACAAACTGGTCAATGCATAGAAATTTGAAATAGAAACTCTTCAGTACTAACATTCTGATTAGTATTTACCATAGTGAAATTTTGAGAATGAACAACGGAAATGGTGCAATTCAAAAACTGAGCAAAATTTGACGAACTTTTGGTGGAGGCTGGAAACTCAACCCGACACAGACTCAACAGGTGATCCAACAACATATATAGTTGTTTTATCTCCTTCTTCTTTGAAGTCGCGATAATCTATGGATCAAGAAAAGCTTATTTTGCTCCCCAAGTCAAAGTTTGAAACTGCAATAAGTTTTGATTCTTCTTTTGCTCACATTTTATTAGTTGGAGATGCACCGTTTGATAGGATGAAAAATGCATTAAAAGAGAAAATCAGGCTTGGAGTGTGTTGAAGTAGCTGAGAAGGTCCTTAATAACTAAGAATCAATGCATCCCCTAATGATTCAAGGGAGAACAAAGTAAGATAAATCAACACAAAAACATCTAAATCTCCTGATTTGTCACAAAGATACATCTCAAACCCTCCCAAAATCCATTATCGGGTGAAAAAAATCGGAGGCTGAGTAACATGAAGAACCCTAGAAGCCGATGACAAGAAGACAGTGATTTTTTGTTTAGGAAAAAATAAGATGGTAAATTTTAATAGAATCAGACTAAAACTGATAATTTATAAGTCCAACTAAAAAAATGAACTCAATCTACCAAAATTAAAAAAAAAATCATTCAAAACCATAGAAACTAATAAATTATTGCTACATGTCATTTTTGTCCTTATAGAAAAAAAAACCCTATTTTATATTATATAAAATTCATAAAGTTATAGAAAAAGTTAATTTAATTCCACGGAAATCTGCAAACCAGAGTATACTTTTTTTTTGTCAATCTAGAGTATACATATTTGTAGAATCCACGTAATGTTTAAAATCTATCAACCTTTAAAATATACATTCTTTCAAAAATCAATCTCCAGACTCCCAATATAATTACTCCATAAACTCCAATTAATTACATGACATATTTATGGTAAAAAAAAATACATTGGATGAACAAATAATAACAGCGAAAGTCGCGGGAACAACGGCCAAACACAAACCAAATCAAACTTAGACCAGAACGTTACACTTTGCATGCAATTAATAATAAAATATATTTTCTGCGTTCTCTGCAAAAAAAACCGTTACAGAAAGACAGCGAAAACCTTTGAGGAAATCTTTTCCAGGGCGACTCGGAAGCAGCAAACCCCAAAAGAGAACAAAGAAAAAATCATTTTCTCCTTTGAAGCCTCTTCTGATTAGAATTTATTATATAGGTAAAAGATCTATTTTCCTAACAGTTTGGTTTCTTTATTTGTACCCCTTATATATTTTTTTGAGATTTGGTTGTCTAGTTTGAACCCTAATTCTATTTCTTTAGGTATTGAAGGTTCTTCTGATTCAAAGTTATTTTATAGGTAACATTCGTCAATTTCTTTAACGGTTGGTTTCTTTATTTTCTTCCCAAATTTATTGAGATATGGTATGTTTTTGTCAGATTCGATTACCCAACGATGTGATTTCAAATATTCGAAAGAGAATGCATTGATCCTTGACAAACAAGGATCTTCATTTCAGGTTTTTCACTTGATTCTATTTTTTTTTTCTCCTTCAAATTCTCTGTAAAATGATCAAATGGTTTAAATGTTCCTCTGCTAATGATTTTAATTTTTTTATTTGGGTTCAGCCATCTTCAGATCAAACCTGGTTCGATTTTGTTGGTTATTTGTACAAGCCTGTGAATGGAGCAATTCAGGCAAATAGGCGAGGTTCTTGGGAGCTTAAACGCGCTTATGGTATTACAAGACGATATCTTGATCAACCAAAGACAATGCTGTTTGTTGTTAGACATTTTCAGTTTGGCTTTCAACACCGTAGCCGAAGATATACGACAAAACTTGAAGCTCGAAGAGAAGCATTCCAAATGGAGAGCCCTTGAACAGCCTTTGAGAGAGCTCTACAGAGTGTTTAAAGAAGGCGAAATGTATGTTCGAAGTTGCATGTCCAATAAAGACTGGTGGGGCAAAGTGATCAACTTCCATCAGAACAAAGATTGTGTTGAGTTTCACATACACAACTTGTTCTGTTACTTCCCTGCCGTGATCGAAGCCATCGAGACAGCTGGAGAGATCTCTGGTCTTGACCCTTCAGAGATGGACAGAAGGAGAGTTGTGTTCTCTAGAAAGTATGATAGAGAGTGGAATGATCCGAAGCTGTTTCAATGGAGGTTTGGGAAACAGTATCTGATTCCCAAAGATATTTGCAGCAGGTTTGAGAATTCATGGAGAGAAGATAGATGGAATCTAGTGGAGGCGTTACAAGTGAAGAAGAAGTCAAAGAGCGATGAGATTGGGAAGACAGAGAAGCGTTTAGCTGATTTTCTCCTGAAGAAGCTAACCGGTTTGGAACAGTTTAACGGTAAGCTCTTCCCGAGTTCGATACTTGTCGGCTCCAAAGATTACCAAGTGAGGAGGAGACTTGGCGGTGGTGGTCAGTACAAGGAGATTCAATGGTTAGGTGATTCCTTTGTGTTGAGACATTTTTTTGGAGATCTTGAGCCGTTGAATGCTGAGATATCTTCTCTGTTATCGCTCTGTCACTCGAATATACTTCAATACCTATGTGGATTCTATGATGAAGAGAAGAAAGAATGTTCATTGGTTATGGAGTTAATGCACAAAGACTTGAAAAGCTACATGAAGGAGAATTGTGGACCTCGAAGAAGGTATCTCTTCTCTGTTCCCGTTGTGATTGATATCATGCTTCAAATCGCTAGAGGGATGGAGTATCTTCACTCAAATGAGATCTTCCATGGAGACTTGAATCCAATGAACATTCTTTTGAAAGAGAGAAGTCACACTGAAGGTTACTTCCACGCCAAGATATCAGGTTTCGGTTTAACCTCGGTGAAAACTCAGTCTTTTACACGAGCTTCCTCTAGACCAACCACTCCTGATCCTGTGATTTGGTATGCACCTGAGGTTCTAGCAGAGATGGAACAACAAGATCTCAAAGGTACAACAGCTCTTAGATCAAAGTTTACTCATAAAGCTGATGTGTATAGCTTTGCTATGGTGTGTTTTGAGCTTATAACTGGTAAAGTACCGTTTGAAGATAGTCATCTACAAGGAAACACAATGGGTAAGAACATAAGAAATGGAGTGAGACCTCTCTTCCCATTCCCTTCTCCTAAATACTTAGTCAGTCTTATCAAACGGTGTTGGCACTCAGAACCTAGCCAGCGTCCTACTTTCTCATCCATCTGCCGGATACTACGCTACATAAAGAAGTTCTTAGTTGTGAATCCGGACCAAGGTCACATTCAAATCCAAACTCCACTCGTTGATTGTTGGGACTTGGAAGCAAGATTCTTGAGAAAGTTCTCACTCGAGTCAGGCTCTCACGAGGAGTCCGTGATGCAGATACCGTTCCAGCTTTACTCATACAAGGTTGCGGAGAAAGAGAAGATGTCTCCAAACTTGAACAAAGAAGAGAGTTCTGAGTCTGCTTCAGAAAGCGTTTCGGATCCACCAACAACGCCAGTGTATACAAAGTCATTGTGTTTAGATGCAATATCTGAGTACTCAGAGTCAGATACAAGATCTGTTTACTCAGAAGCTCCCATGAAAAAGAACTCATCAGCTTTAAAGAAAAGCGGCGATATGGCCAAACTCAGAAGAAACTCAAGCGCAGGTTAGTTACATTATTATCACAACCAAAACTCATCTTTAGTTCTAAAGATTGATTATTAATTCCTTTTCAAAAATGTTGAATAGGTTTACGGACTACAGGATCATCGCCTGTAAAGCCAAGACCAGCACCGAAAGTGACATTGCCGCTAAGTCCATTTGGAAGAAACAGCAAAGCAAAGAAGGATGCAAGATTGCCTTTGAGTCCTATGAGTCCTTTGACCCATCCAAGACGTAGTAGACACCTCTCTGGTCCTGCTTCAGACTCTGAGCTTACTTAGCTTTTTCAATTACGACGACACACTTCTTCTTGTTTTGTCTTAATTTTCCCAAGAATCTTAAGTTAAGACAAAAAAAGTTTTCCGACAAGACAATTCTATACTTTTTGTTGTGTAATTTTATTCTTTTTAGTTTCAATTCTTTATTTTTTTTTTTTTCAATTCTTTTACTAGATACTTTTTATTTTTGTAAACTACTTTTACTAAATACTTTCCTGCTTCACTTTCGCAATGTCATCACAGTCGCAATTACGTTTGATTATCAACGAGTTCTCCAGGAAATTTCAAACGAAATTGAATACCCAGAAGCTGCATAGTTTCGTTACCAAGTCCCAACTCGCTCGTGATCCGTATTTCGCTACGCAGCTCGTTAGATACTACTCCTTAAACGATGATCTTCTCTCTGCACGCAAACTGTTCGACGTATTTCCTGAGAGAAGCGTTTTCCTCTGGAATTCTGTTATTCGAGCTTATGCTAAAGCTCTTCATCTTGTTCCCGCTTTGTCACTCTTCTCCGAGATGCTTAGCTCTGAAACTAAGCCAGATAGCTTCACCTATGCGTGCTTAGCTCGTGGCTTCTCAGAGAGTTTTGATACAGAGGGACTGAGGTGTATCCATGGGAATGCAATTGTATCTGGTCTTGGATTTGACCGAGTTTGCGGCAGTACAATTGTGAAAGCTTATTCAAAAGCTGGGCTTACGTTTGAAGCGAGTAAGTTGTTTTATGCAATACCAGAGCCAGATGTTCCTCTATGGAATGCTATGCTCTCTGGATATGGAAGCTGTGGATCTTGGGAAGAAGGAATCAGTATGTTTAACTTAATGTTACGTCAAGGAAATAGACCTGATTGTTATACTATGGTAGCCTTGATGACTGGAGTTATTGATCCGACGTTAACACTCATTGCTCAGTCTATTCATGGGTTTTGTTTGAAAGTGAATTTGGAATCTCATTCTTATGTTGGTTGTGGTCTGGTGAGCATGTACTCGAGGTGTAACTGTATTGCTTCTGCTTGTGGTGTGTTTAGTAGCATCTCTGAGCCTGATTTAGTTGCGTGTTCTGCTTTGATAACGTGTTACTCGAAATGTGGTAATCATAAGGAGGTTTTGTGTCTGTTTAATGATCTGAGAATGAGTGGTAAGAAGCCAGATTCTGTTCTTGTTGCGATTGTATTAGGGTCTTGTGCTGAGTTATCGGATTGGGTCTACGGACAAGAGGTGCATAGTTATGTTATTCGACAAGGGCTGGAACTGGATATAAAGGTTAGCTCTGCTCTTATAGACATGTACTCAAAATGTGGGATTCTTGACTCAGCGATGACACTTTTCGCTAAAGTCCCAGAGAAAAGCGTTGTTTCATTCAACTCTGTTATCTTGGGTCTTGGCTTGCACGGATTTGCTTCCTCTGCTTTTCAAAAGTTCAACGAGATGCTTGAGATGGGATTGAACCCTGACGAGGTGACTTTCTCTGCTCTTCTTTGCACATGTTGCCACTCTGGTCTTTTATACGAAGGTCAAGATATCTTCATGAGAATGAAGAACGACTTTGGTTTTGAGCCGCGGACGGAGCATCATGTTTTCATTGTAAAGCTGATGGGAATGGCTGGAAAACTGGAAGAAGCGTTTGAGTTTGTAATGTCATTAAGAAAACCGGTTGATTCAGGGATTTGGGGAGCATTGTTGTCATGTTGCGAAGTTTATGAGAATACTCATTTGGCTGAAGTTGTAGCAGAGAAGATAAGGGAGAACGAGGAAGAGAGAAGAAGAAGTGTTTACAACGTTATGCTCTCTAATGTGTATGCAAGATATGGGAAATGGGATGAAGCAGAGATGCTTAGAGATGGAGTTTCGGAAAGCTTTGGAGGTAAATTGCCAGGCATGAGTTGGGTTTAACCGCAAGGAAGAAGCAGTTAATGGCTTAGTTGACTTGTTCACCTTAGGATTTATAATTCTTATGCATTGAACAATAACTGAAAGTGCAAACCATTTTTAGTACATAATGATACTCAAATGGGATCTCCATTAACAAAACTAGAATGAAAAGCAACTACTTAAGTAACTAGAAAGAACATAGTAGAACAGATTTGTCGATCTACAAGGAAAAAAAACCACTCAAACAAACTACTTGGCTGATTCCTTCTCATTGAACTCCTTACAGAGTGCAATTATTCTTCCAGTCCACAAATGAAGATCATCTTGGTTATTTTCCATAAACCCTTGCAACTGTTTAATGTTAGAAGCTTGACCTGAGCCTCCTCCTGATGATGATGATGTTCCTCCTCCAAGGGTATCTGCAATGACAGCTAGTAAAGCTGTCAAAAACTTACACCTCTTTGTTTGCAGACTAACAAACATATCAGAGTCGAAGATCCTAGAGTAAATCCATGTGCACTTAGACATTTTATCACCCACATCCAAGCTAGGATCCTCATAGCGTTTTAATATCTCCATAATTGTTTCTAGGCCTTCTTCAGTAGCGTGATGACGTAGAAAATGACGAAAAACACATGGTGTGGCACAGAGAGTTTACTAGCATTTGAGACAAACAGAGTATAAGCATGAAGTCCTGTAAACCTCAAATGATTCTCAAACAACGTTTTGCAGATAACTTGATTCTTGCTTCCACTAAGCTCATGGAAAGCTAACAGAAATGGAGCTACTGAGTTGCGAATTATTGTACTGTTCTGGAAAACTCTCCTTACACATTTTAAGCACTCAAGATCAAGTGAGAGACTAAACTCTAAGGGAGCTTTGTAAAAACTCTGGTAATGACCTGAAAGAGAAGACCAAGCCTTTACAAGAGCTTCATGCTCTTTAGTAGCTAGTCTTAAAACTGCAGCGCAGTAAAAACATGCGGTTCTCACCCAGTTTAAAGCGTTGTTACCTGTAGTAAACTTGATCACATCTTTATTATAAGACCTGGATGACTTGCAGAGTACTCCATCAGGGAGGCTTGTGTCTCTCTTGCCTTGGAACTCTCCCATAATCCACCAAACACAGACTCATTTGGATTTTCGCAAGAAACTAAACCCCAAGCACAGACCAGGAGAGCACCCACAGATCTAACACTCACCTCAATTGTTAGAGAGGTTAGAGCTTCTCTGATGATTTGAATCCTCTCCTCAAATGTTCTGACGTGATTCTAGGCATTGAGATTGATGACCTTCCTATCCTTCAACATCTCATTTGTCCAGACCACTTTGTTAGGGTTCCGGTCGAGTCTGATAGACGAAAGATGTTCCCATTGTTTCATAAGATGTGGATTGAAAAAACTACTAGCCGAAAGAGTGTCATCTTTATTTGGAGGTGTTGCCATTGAAGCAGGTCCTGTCTTTTGAAGTCGGAGGTATAAAAAGAAAGAAAACAAGCCGTCAGAAGAAGTTATTTATTTGTATGCCAGTTGTATATTCACCTTTTTAACCTAACTGTAAGAGAAGAGCCAATCTAACGGGCCTGGCTGGGCCTTTACAATCCTGATACGAGCCACCAACTGACACATGGAAAGTGTTGCACCGGATGAGAGAAAATAACTGAAACAGATGAATAGACAAAAAAAAAAAAAAAAAAAAAAAAAA